AGTTGCAGTTTCCTTGATGAAGAAGAAATATCCACACCAGGAAAAATCCTGTGGCGAACACCCTCATAACTCTCAAGGCATGAGGAATGGTCGTTGGATCACAACTGGCACTCCTTCACTGTGTAGGTAAACTGTCGCACAAGCACATCTGAAACTTTCCAGAGCTCGATGGCCTCTCGCTCTGTCGGTCGGAAAGAAGTTGCTTCGTCACCTCTTCGTTGTCCGCGGGCTGCGCTGGTGTTTTCGTTGTAACTAGAAACTCCGAGCAGCCTAAAAATAGACAGTGATTATGATTGGCCACGAAGGTGACATTCCTACTTTTGTTCACGATGAATGAGACTTTGGAGTGGCGTGGTCTATCCCAATCGAGTGAGAGACGGTTAATATTTTCCACCGCAGACAGACGAGGGAAAGTGTTACAGAGTAATCTTTCTCCGTCTGACTGAAGATATGCACAGAATGTCTGTCTTTACATCTGAGACTCTTCTCTCTCTCTCTCTCTCTCTCTCTCTCTCTCTCTCTCTCTCTCTCTCTCTCTCTCTCTCTCTCTCTCTCTCTCTCTCTCTCTCTCTCTCTCTCTCTCTCTCTCTCTCTCTCTCTCTCTCTCTCTCTCTGTGCGTGTGTGTGTCACTGTGTCACTGTGTGCGAACGTGCGTGTGTGTGTCACTGTGTGTGTATGTGTGTGTGTGTGTGTGTGTGTGTGTGTGTGTGTGTGTGAGAGAGAGAGAGAGAGAGAGAGCGTATAAAGAGCTGTGATTTTACGTGGAGTGTTGTACACGGGTGTGTGCGGGAAGGCATGCATGGCAAGACGGTGTTACTTATCAAAATAACAATGTTGTCTCAGCCTTTTAAATTGTATTAGTTATCTCTTGTCTTCATAGTGTTAATTCTCGTCGTTTCGCTTCTTTAACACCAAACACAAGTAGACCTACATCTACCACAACTGCAACTACCACTTCTTCCCTTGTCTCGACTAGATCTACGCCTACTAGAAACTGGGTTATAAATCCTACCACACACAACAATACAGAGCTTTTTTTTTTTTTTAACTTTAATCCTCAATAGTAGCATTCAAAAGTCATTTAAAGTTTGTTTCAGGTCGAGTTTTACGGCACTTGCAACACAATTAGGTCACATTTTATAGACCTATGCCGATAAGATTAAAGGTGTTACAAGAGAGTAACAAACACGTAAAAAAGAAGGAGAGGTTAGGGCGATAGGTGTTTGATAGATGAGAAGGTGCAAACCACACTAAATCACCCGCCAACCACCCACATTCTCTACAACTATCACTACTGCACATACCATGCGTACACTACTACTATACTATACCACCTCCCACTTCTAAATCTCCCACTAATTCACCCACCAAGACAAAGTCTACCACTACGGAGCCTACCATTACGACTCCTACCACAACTACATCTACCACCTAACCACCATCACACCTCCTGCCACTACTTCTACACCAACTACTACACTTACCACTACTACGTCTACCACAAGGAGGTTGTTTCAAGCTCCTTGGTCTACCACTACTACTGCTACCCTACGCCTTTCATTACTACACCTACCACCACTACAACTACCAATAAAAACGTACGTCTTGTGTTGTTTTTATATACATATT